AGCAGGCACGGCTGGATGTGCGGAAGTTCTCCTTCTCGGTTCGGGTGGTCAAACCATGGAATGAGCTTCCCGCAGATGTTGTGATGTCACCATCTATACAAAGTTTTAAGAAGAATCTGGACATATTTATGTTCCGAAATGAGCAAGAGCGATGAGAAGTCGAGCTCACCCCCTGTAACTGCTTCTCATTTTGTCCCACCATTATGGGCGTGTTCGAACTATTTCAGCCCAGAACATCTATTTGTACACCACACATTTTTTACGTTGCAAATAGGGTACTCAAAGGCTTACGCCTATTTCCCTCAATAAACTGAACTGAACTGAAGTGAACAAACTTGCGTTAGAACCTTCTTATGTCTTGTGATTCACGATCCCATCTGGATGTACGTAGGTACTCGTTCTCGCGGCGAGTTGTCGGTGCCTGGGACGGTTTTCCCGAAGAACTTATAGTTAAGTAACCCCACAAAGGAGTTTAAATAAAGACCGGATTTATATGTAGTTGAAAAATACCGCTTAATTCTGGAAAACAGTTTCATTATACAATACCAACGCCTGCCGCTAATGCGGATGATTGTTGTTCAATTTTACCACAATCGTGCACAAGTGAGTGTTCTCGGGTTTCATTCCCGCAAGTTCAACGACGGTAGCCTGTAAAATGTATATGCTACTGACGTAATTTCCACAAACATCCTTATTCGACACTGAATATTGTATGCAGCGTTTTCAATGGGTTCTTTAAATTGATTGTCTATTATCCTAAGCTATACTGAGCCAAAAGTCATAGGTCTCAGCCATACCAATACACTTGACTTAACCCCTGTGTTACATAAATTCCCCTGAAAGTGTTGATGTCCAACAACTTGACCGGCGGACGCCTCCTGGTTGCCATAGCAACTCCCACAGACCTGACGCTTCTCCAATACCTGGATCGACCAAAGCTAATCCTCATACCGAACTGTTCCCGCTGCAGGATCCCCATTTTTTCTGAACTTCCTTCCGTACCCTCCTTCCAACATAAATAATTCCCACTCTACCCCTAGGATAACGTCTTCCTTCTTCATTGAGCCCCGATAGTTTTTATTATAAAGGGAATCTAGGAGTAGCACTCTCGGGTTCGCATCATAGCTCTAAAGCTAAAGAAACGACCGGCCAGTCGAACTGGGCCACAGTCCCCACCAGCTCAATTCAATCCAGCCCTTAGGATAGGGACATGTGTTAGCAGGACTATTCACTGGAATTAGATCTCCAATCTGTGTTTTTGAAGTCCACCTGATTTTAACAGATTCCAAATCAGAAACACGAAGATATCGTGGTCTAAAGTATTTTTAGTACGCGGGTACGATGAATGCCACGGAACAGGTAGAGACAGGTGGAGGATAAGCTGGAATTGTGTATGTCAGCGAAGTTCGAAAAAATTGTAAATGGTAGACTGAGTGTCGGCATAAGAAACAAGTGACGGCTTAGCAAAATATATGAGAGATTTCTTGTTTGCAGGATTATGGGAATGCCCACCCTCCGTCGGGTATTATCCGCGCAAATAAATCTGTGGGCTTCTGACAAGGGAAATTAGACCTAGTTTCTAGCAGTTAAAATTGACAAGTCCTTCCAGAAAAGGCTAATTAAAAAGTTGTTTGTGGAGCGACTTATTCATAGTGTCGTTATGGCAGTGACTTACCGAAATGATCATAGAAAGGTTTTGACAGATTCTTCTAAAAACAGTTCAAGTACTTGTGAGTACAAGGCCTCTGAAGCTCAAGTTTATGCAAATTTAACCTCTCCAGATTAAGTATGAAACTGTAGAAATGAACAGTACAACAGAATATTATTCCTAGTTGCCGGTAAAGCAGATGCCCATTTATATAACTGACTGCAAAAAGGTTCAAACAAAAACGCCTTCACTTATGTCTCGCAGACCATGCACGTGCCTTGTGTTCAAGATGTGAATAGGTACAATACTGAATACGAGTTTCAAGGCACTGTGTGCTACTGAAGATTTTTGAATTTAGGATATGTGGGCAAGTCACTGTAATTTATAATCATTTATCCTTTCGACCAGCGCGCTCCTCCGTCTGCTAGTTGTTCGAGGAATGCTTTTTCCGGCTACATCACGTTTTGTAGGCTAAGTCCGCCTCGGTCGTCCGTTAAGTTCTTTTCGATATTGGAAGGTGTTGCTGAAAAACAACTGAATGAGGTGAATGCTAGATGACACTGTATGACTTGTGCTACAATAACATTCGATTTGTGCGTTCAGTTAAGGACTGTAATTCGCAGCTCAACATTCGAATTGCAGTGTGCCTATATGCCCACAAATGTTGTTGTCTGCTTTGTTGTCTGCGGCTTTCCTGCCGCTTGTATGTGGATTCTACGTTCCAGGCTTTTCACCGAATGAATATAACATAGGTGACGACGTACCGGTCAGGGTTAGTGTTTGTTTTTCAGTTAAACCCGTTGCTCAGGCGGTCAAGCTTGCCAGTCCGAAGACCCAACTGCCGTATGATTACTACCATTTGCATTATTGCAAACCGGAAAACGGGGACTTCGAATACGATTCAGTTAATTTCGGTATTCTATTTTACTCTTTTCGAATATCTTCAGGGGAAATCATTCATGGCGATCGAATTGTTACAACTGCTTATAAACTCCAAATGAAGACTGATGTTTCTTGTCGGCTCGCATGTCAGCCAGAAAGTCTTTTATCGTCAGAAGTCGATCAGTTTATCTATCTTATAAGCAACAAATATTCTGTACACATGTGGGCTGTTATTTTTCTATTAATAAATTAATTTAGGACTGTGGACGACCTACCCATTTCCCGCGAAAAAATATCAACTGGTGATGCCGTGTATGAATTGGGCTACCGAATCGGTGATATAGACGAAAACGCAGCAAGGCTTAATAATCATTTGAAATTTCGTGTTAAATACCACAGAGTCAAGTTAGATCCCCATTTCCTAATTAGCTTTAAATAGTGATAAATATCGTGTTGTGGGTGTTACTGTTTTGCCTTTGAGCCTCGACAGTGACTCAGTCATTCGACAGCCAGACGGAACGTGTCAAATAAAAAGCTCTGGGATAAATCCCCAAATTTTGAAGTTAGGAGAACCAGCAAAAGTGGCCTTCTCTTACGAAGTTATTTGGGAAGAGTCTGACATCGAATGGACATCCAGATGGGACATATATTTAAGCACGGGTGACGGACAAATCCATTGGTTTTCAATAATCAATTCCCTCATTATAATAATATTTCTCACAGGTACATTTTTTAAAGTGTGTTAAATCCACGTCTTTAGGTGTGATGGCCGCTATTCTTCTTCGGACCTTACGGAGAGATATTTCGCTTTACAACCGCGAGGAAGATTCCGTATATTTCTCATTCTTAATCTCTTGTTGCGCATTTGTTAGCGAGTTTATAAACTTTAACTTAACTGTTTGTCAGCATTGATCTTAATTTCTTCTTATAGGAAAAGCAATGTTTATCCAGTTTCCTTATATACCCTTACACTAGCAGAGACTTTGTCACTCGCGTACAGCCGCTTAATCTAGGAGTTCTCATCAGATGCCTTTTAAGTACAAAAAAATTTTAGCTGGTCGGCCTCTGGGTTCCCCGTGTTTTTTCATATTGATTGTTAGGATTTGGGAAAATTTAATGGAACATTTTCCAAAACAGTCTTCGTCTACCTTGTTTTAATTCCCTTGCATACTTACTTGCACTTGGTAAACCTGTGATCCTGCGTGATCTAACTGCCCTCGTTGATGTCGCGTATTATATCTCTCCGCGCATGACGATTTGCAGTGGCGGGTCTGGACAGCTCGACCCATCATCTTTAGTGACGGAGGCGAACGCCGAATGTTCAGTAGCCACTTGCGTGCTTTGAACTGTGTTAAGCCATGTTTTGAGTTTACTTCCCCATCGACGCCTCGAGGTAGGCATCGACGCCGGATAGGGAAGAGCAAGACTGAACTTGTGAGATGGACAAAGGACGTGTTCAAACCACTTCAGTCGTCTTTATTTGATGACCAGAGATATCTTTACGATGTCGCAGCGAGTTTAGACTGTCTCATTTGAGACAAGCTCGGTGCACTTCACTCAAAGCTTAGTCCTCAGATAGCGGCAAACAAATTCCTCTACGTTTCGCTAATATTCCACGCGCACAGTCCAGCATTCAAATCCCTGAAGTATGACTGGACGGATGCGCGGTACGCGCGGATCCTTTTGTCGATGGCGACATTGCGTAGGGTTCGTAGATGCTTTCGAAGGATTTTGAAGACTGCAAACAGCATTGATTCATAAGACAATGTCATCTATACCTTGTTTATTCCACAGCGGTCTCGCTCCGAGATATTTGAAACTGTCTACTTCAAGTTGACAGCCACCAATCCTGAGGGGTGTATTCGCCTGCTCAGGGATACGTTCATGGGTAAACTGATGTAATTTGCGACTTCATCCACCCATGATACTCCAGACTGTAGATCACCAAAACTTGAGGCCAACGAGGCGATATCATCAGCGTAGTCCAGATCAGTCAGTCGGCGTCCGGATGCAAACTCAGCACCGTCAACACCATGTAGGGCTCCTCCGAAAATGCAGTCACTGGCGTAGTTGAACGGAATTGACGACACAATACAACCTTTTCGAGCTCGACATCGGACCTTGAACGGTTGGCAGGTTGTTTTAGGCCAAAACTCGCGCAGTGGGGAGCATTAGTAGGTCATGATCACAGCGTTTATCTTAGCCTGCGTAACACTTACTTCCATCATCTGCGACAGCGGCTCACGATTAGCCGAACTGAACGCTGCGGCGAAGTCAACAAAGCAGACGACCGTCGGTTTATGATAGCCATGACGAAATTTAGGAATGCATCTCAGTATGAATATCTAGTTCGCGAATCCACATCCAGCTTGAAATCCGGCATCATTGGACCTCCTAGAATCACACACAGCTTAAAATCCCATGAGAAGTTCAACATCAAAGGCCTTCGCAGTAACCTCGATAAGGCTCATACCGCAGTATTTCACACACTGTCTTATCTCCATCCTTGAAAACGGAGAGGGCGCTCAAATCTCCGTCATAAGGAAAGACCTCATCTCCCCATGCTTGATCTATCACCTCATGGAGCATCATAGCTTATTTTCTCTTGCATCTTCAATTTGAATTCAAGCAGTTCGACTGTTAAATTTCCGACTTCACTCTGTATACTTCAGATGGATTGAAAAGGCGGAGCCGAATTCTCAGAAAAGTTTTTTTTCGTGGCCTTGCTACACTCGACTGTCTTTGTAGCTTTATTCCGATTAGGGAACGTTTGGATGTGAACTTTTGATTAATATGCACTGTTAGTGAGCCAGGAGAGACTTGGATTTATGTGGTCTGTCGAATTACTGAGATGTTATAAATTCATTCAAAAATGTATATGCCGTCTACTTTTGTCTCCTAAAATACGAGTGTTCGAGTTTTAGAAGGGTTTCTTTGTGACTTTACATGAACGATTTGCCGCATTCCAGCTTTATTGTTTCCGTCCTTTCCTCCGTGTTTAAGGAAGAAATTATTGAAGAATCCGGGTGGAAACTTGTACATGGTGACGTTTTTCGACCGCCGAGACGAAGTGCTTTACTTGCTGCATTCATTGGATCAGGCGTTCAGCTGCTCTGCATGGCATTTATTGTATTGTGTAAGCACCAATCTTCTATTCCTACGCCGACTTTTCTTTGACTTTAAAATGTTTCTCTTTCAGTGCGGCTAATCCACTTAACATCGAGTAGGCCTTCATGACTCATTTTCTTGCACATAGACAATCATTCTTACCTTTTTCTAGTGGCCTGGACTTACCGTTCACCATAATCGTCACAACGCTTCGATGTGGCCGACTGATAAACTAAATTTTATGGCTTCGTGCCATATTTATAACCGTATTTTTCGTTTCGCAAGCCAAAGTTATTGGTCGGGGCACAGCCTGTGATACTACTTTAAATTAGTATATGCAATCCTTCAAAATTCTTATTTAAACCATCGCTTTGGAAGGAGTGTCCACTTTAGAGACCTAACCGGAGTATCGCGCTTTTAAAACTGACTTATAAAGCCTCCGTCACAGCCTATAAAGCATTCTGTTACTTGTTCTCAGTGTTAGATCGTGTCGCAAAGCGAGACCGGATTTCTATGCTCAGGGCCTTGAGTTTGCTGGATTGTCAAAGTTTTGCGACGTCAAGGCGCCTCGCACATTACAGTTTTGGTGCAGTTGGGAGGCGACTTTTTAGGTGTGCGGACGATAATGGTCCTATCCGTAGGCGTCAGGAGCCCCGACCCCACGCATGAATCTGTTATTAGTGAACCCGGCTGCGAAACTTTGAGCCGATTAGAATGTAGTTGATTTAACCGACCATACGACCGTCGTTTGAATACCAAGTCAGAAGATGTTTGTGGCAGTGCTGGAAACACGTGTTGGTGATAAACAATAGGTTCCGATCAGAAAGGTTTGGAATTATCATCGTTGCCACACATGAAAACCGGACCCAGAGCGACCAATAAGGTGACCGTTTGAAGGGTCACTGGGCCCAGTCCGACCATCCCGGTCCCCGGAAAGAATCAGCACATCACCGCCATTACCCTTACAACAGCCAGCAGGTTTCTTTGTCGAACTGGTCGACATCTGATATTTGTACGTACATGTAGACGGCAGTGTTCGTGATGTAAACCTTCAGTTGTACATAAGCTCTATGGCTGCTGGTCCCCACTCAAGCAGTGTCTAGATAGCTTTCACCATAAGCGCGACCGCCACGCCGTCTTTGGGGGAAAAGTTACGTGAACTGCTGTGTTACAGGGAGTTGACTCCCGAGCTCATCACTTTCCGAACCCATGGGCTGGAGGAATCAGACTTCACACAGGCCATATACACCCACGTTGTACTGATAAAGACTGCGGGCTATCAGACTTTGGGTAGCAGGTTCTAGGAACGTTAGCATATTCCAGCATCTAATACCGATGTTATATTTTAGTTTGCGTAGCTCATATCGGATACTGCCCACGCGCGCTTGGGCCCCCATGGTCGTCGTAGTATGGATCGTAGTACTCTAATCGGACATTTTCATGAGGTTTCTTGGAAACTTTGAGTGCAGCGGGTTCCCAACAGGCGCCTGGATTGTTTGTTCGAGGTTGTCTCCGCTAGCGCTCTGACTTACGAACCTGCCCGCAAGGCAGCGATGGCAAGCAAACTTATTTAACGACTATTCACGGTGTTCATCGCAGTGCCGTCATCGGGCCTTGCGGCATTTGATGCAGCAGTCAGCGTGTCAGATCCTTGCTCACCGCGCCCTGGTAGCATTATCACCGCGGGTCTGCCGCCGTTTATCCGCGCGTCTCGATAGCTTCGCAACTAATTCTTGCTGAAGACTGTTTGACCATCCACCACCTATGCACGCGCCAGCTAGCTAGGAGGTAAGCTAACAGGGAACACGTCCTGCTTAGTTTTCCTGTGTGGTCGTGAATATTGTATTGGACGACTAGAAAAAGAGCATAAGCCGAAGGTCTTGATCACCTTCACTTGAAACCAACTCCTAGAGTGGTGTACACATGCATCATTTCGACTGAAAGCGCTCGCTTTCGCTACAACAGCCACGCCAGCATACTCCGGGGAATTCATGAACAACGTCAAGGACAGTCATGCTATAAGTCTCGAGTCCCGTGCGTTTAATTCTACTGCCCAAAATCCAGCGCTGCCGCTTATTTTGAGGCGCTGCAACGGCCTCAACCGATAACGTTGTTTGACACAGTCAAGATATTGAGGTGGTTCCTGAACTCGCGCTATTCGGTCTTTATCATCGGAGAAGAAAGTGGATCGAGCTCACTCAGTCTGTTACCGCACATCTTTGCTCATGGAGAAACACCATCCGCATCATATACTGGGGGGGGGCGGCCTGATCGCAGCCGAGTCAACTACAAATCAGTGTGTGCTTATTTTGTAACCTGTACGCAACTGGTTGTAGTACTCAGCTGGCCTGAGGTGACGTTGCCGACCGTAAGGCCGCTTTCCGAACCGCGGAAACGATACTAACGTAAGGTGCTTTCTTTGCACGCCTGTTCAAACCTTCCGTCCTCATTCTAAGTTGGACACATTAATGCCAGAGATAGGCAAAAAGTCCCACTGTCTTTTTCATTCTAGCCACTGACATATTTTCTTCGGCTGACGATGCTCCCCGTCGGAGCACAAAGAGATTTCCACAAGAACTCCTAAGCGGGTCTTGGCTTTAAAAAACTTCACAATTAGTAATGACAGTAGATCACGTAATATATTATATGCGAAGAAATGTGCGTAATTGCATGGAAGTAGGATATGGTCTCACATATAAACCCTAATTTTACCATACTCTATGGAATTAGGTTATGAAAGAGGAAGGAGGCACCAGAACCACTTTTTTGTCTGAGCTTTCAAGCCCGTGTACGAGTCCTTCGTTAGAGATATAACAGCAACCAAATTATAGGTGCAGCAGCCCCACCTATAATTTGGGACAATGAATCTACCCAAATCGTACGTTTCTCCAAGACGGTTTGATCACTTCATTCTGATCAGCCTGCCAATTCATTTTCAATCGGACGAAATCATGGTCTCTTTCAACGTGACTTCATCATTCGCATTCAACTCACCGACTTTGGCGCAGGAAAGTGGAGGAGGCACACGATGAAATTGAGTTCGCTCAAAGTTAGGAATCTCGTGAGGCTGTTTCTACTCTCCAGAAAACTTACTCCACCTTTGCTGAAGAGACCTATGACCAGATCATGGCGACTCCAATGGACCCTTCAATCTCCGGTTTATTGAAAGAACCGGTCCTACAAGTGGTAGAACTGCCTTCATGCAGCAGAAGGCAATGTTTTGGCGCTTTTACGTCGACAAAACATTTGTTGGGGATTTCTGAGGAAATTAAAACCCTACAAGAAGCAAGACAAGCTGAGAATTGATTGAAGCCGGGGTCTCGAATGAGAACTCAATCAGTGGACTTATCAATTTGGCGTCGGCATTCGGGACCCTCCCTGCAGAGACACTTCCACACCTGTGTTACTGATTGTTGACCGACACACATCCCTGTAACTGTCACCTGTTCTGTTTCTGCTTCATCTCCGACGGTGGACCCCTGCACGAGTTTGAAAGCTCCGACTAATAAACAAATGGTTCCGGCGTTGTACCAGTCTTCTTTTCTCATGCAGACATTTGGGACTCAGACATGTGTCTACTTTCGTGAGACTAGATGAAAATGCACTGGGTAAGATTTGAGTGCATTTAGATCGCAATAGATTGTAAAAAGACATAGTAGAGCCGACAGAGCTAGAATTGGTTTATGTAAATCAACATTGCCTGATTTAAGTAGTTGTTTTTACTCGGCCATAGGAAGACAAAACAGTCAGCACCCTTCTCACCAATTGATTTTTGAGTTGTTTATTTTAGGGCGGAAGGGCAGATTGCGTCGGGTTCGTCATTTTTCGGTTTATGTCATTCTCCGACAAAAACGGCTTTCACTGTTGCTTGCACAGTTAGAATCCAGTTCTTTACCTTGCACACATGTGCCTTATGTGGTTAATTTTAGAGGGCGCGTGTTCCAGCATCTGCGCGACAACAGTATTATCACACTTGTTTCTGCTCTCAGAGTGACCCATCAGTCATCAGATATGAAATTATTTTTATGGGCTTTAGTTTATTGGCGTTTGAAAGAGAAAAAAGACAAAGTACAGGCGTTTTTGAAACTGGACCTTTCCGGGTTAGTTGTCAAGTTTAAGTTCTGTGTTCCGTAATGCGGTTCGATATGATTTCCATGGCGATGCTTGTTAAATAACGTGATTTGGAAAATAATTTATTAGACCGATCTGCGCCCGCCACTACGAACAAAATCATTATAAGAAGTAGATGGGTTGAGAATTAAACCAGCACATTCCTAGGTAGGGTTGACTTTCTTTTGCAAAAGTAAGAAGAATGAGTTAGATGCATGGTTGCCGAATTTCGAGTTGCTGCTGGCCAGACTAAGAGTACCACGGCGACGTCCCGGCAGACAGCTGGTAGTGTGTAAATTCATTCAAATGAAAAGCGAGTGAACAAAGCCAAATCCCGTAAATTTGTTGTACCGGCGGTTTTCAGCTGGTTCTAGGTCCTCCTGGCGAATAACGCCCATCGCTCCTCGAGGTTATTTTCGTCGTCTCACTTATAATTGGGATTACACATCTTAAGAAACCCTCAATGCCTTTTCTCCCGGTTTCTAGACCCTCAACGGCCATATGAGTTTGAACCCCAAACAGACTCCAGCTGTGTTACTCAAAACGACTTAGTCGTCGCTCATGTCCCTTTGGTCTACCACATCTGTTACTTGGTGCCATTTTTGAGTCTTGGTGACTTTGCGCATAATGACTTCCCGAATGTGCTATTTCTCTGTCGGCAGTACGCGCATGCCACCATTGTCCTAGGTGCACTGAGCGTGGAAGTAGACAATGGGTGGCACCTCTGCGCGCACACCACACCTTCCACTGTCGTGTCTTGCATGACAGGTTGGCGCTCAGACACTAAAATTACGTAGGTAGACTAATTCATGAAATGCCAGCCGAAATTCCGAAATGCGTTTTCGTTTCGAAAATATTATTTAAGTAGGATTGTAAAACTAATCATCGTGTAGCGTAATTCTATAATAATTCAGTTACTTCAGGATGTCGGCTTTTGAACGGGTGTCTTTTCGACTGCATGCAAAAACTATACTCTGTGAAGGAGGAGTACTTGAGTAGCGGGCATTTTTATCATTGATTTTCAATGCCCTCGAAAATTAAATTATATTTCATGGAAAACACACATAAAAATATTCATTCATTTGCTCATTCGGTAGAAAATTACGTCTTCTTCCAATTTTATACTCGAAGGAGGGTATAATTCGATTTAAAAAAATGTTCCAATTTCCGAATAATTTCGAACTTGGCCGGCCGTTACACTCGCATCCAGGATTTCCAGACTACAGGCCGTATATTTTCCGCGTGCGGAAAACCATACGTTTCTTCACTGTATTAAGAGGGGACTATATGGGGTTCACAAAATTTTGCTGTGGATTTGAGCGATATTGCTAAATTTACGAGCCACATTGGTAATTTCAGACGACGTTTTATGAACGGCCATCCCACGGTGTTATAAAATCTAATGAATAAAAACTTTCCTAGAACTAAATAAGACCCTTCCCTCGAGTATTAAATCGGAAGAAGACCTAATTTTGTACTGAATGAGCAAAAGAATGAATATTTTTATGCATGTTTTCCATGAAATATAATTGAATTTTCAAGGGCGTCCAACACCAATGAGAAGAGTGCAGGCTACTTAAGTGGTCATTTTTCGCAGACTATGTTTTTGCATGCAGCCGGGAAGATGTTTGTTCGAAAGCCGGCATCCTGAGGTAACTGAATCATAGAATTATATTGCACGATGGTTAGTTTTGCAATCCTGCTTAATTAATCTGTTCGAAGCAAAAAAGCATTTCGGAATTTCGGTTGACATTTCATGAGTTAGCCCACCTACGGTATATGCTTTTCAGTGTCCATCTCAGCCGTTGTTCACAACGTTATTTCATTTATAGCCATAGGACTTTGTGGCCCTAGGTAGAATTATGGCTGC